CCTCGAATGGAGTTGATGGCAGCAGTATTAGGAGTCAGGTTGATCTTGATTGTTATTAAAGCTCTTGAAATGAATATTGCTGCTGTGACACTTTGGTCAGATAGTCAAAATGTGCTGTGTTGGATAAAAAAAACCATAGCCGCAAATTCAAAACATTTGTAGCCAATCGTGTAGCTTTTATCCAAGAACATACTATTCCCAGTCAGTGGAAGTACATTCCTTCTCTTCAAAATCCAGCAGATACTCTTTCTAGGGGGTGCAACAATTGCTAGTCTTAAAAGCAAAGCATGGATGTCAGGGCCTGACTTTCTGGTAGAGGATGTGTCGGCAGAACCGACACAAACGGTGATCACACAAGCATCAGATGATCAGGAAGCAAAAGTGCGTGTAGAAATGAAAAGGCAGTCATTTACAATAGTGACATCTGACTGGTGTTGGCGGCTTGATGCAAGGAGATATTCAGATTGGCAAAAACTACTGAGGATTACAGCATGGGTTTGTAGATTCGTGAACAACAGTCGGTCTGAACTAAGTTTGAGAATCTCAGGAGAACTTACTTATGAAGAGCTTCTTGATGCAGAGATCTATCACATAAGCCGTGTGCAAAAGGAAGAATTTAACAAGGAGGTCTCGGCTCTAGAAAATAGGAAACAATTGTCGGCAAGCAGTAAACTCCATGGACTGGATCCCATGCTTGATGAAGATGGGTTGATTAGATGTAGAGGTAGACTGCAGCATGCCACATTTGTACCATTTGATGCAAAGTTCCCCATAGTATTGCCAAGAAGAAACTGGGTAACTAAGTTGATAGTGAAGAAATGCCATGAAGATGGAAAGCACATCATTGGTACAAACCAGATCCTTGCTTTACTGTCTGCACACGTTATTGGATCATTTCTGCTCGCGAAGAGATCCGTGAATATGAAAAGGAATGTTCATGGTGTCGCAGACTTAAGGCAAAGCCTGTTGTTCAAATTATGGCTCCACTTCCACAGGTTACACTGAAGTACACGCTAAGGGCATTTGATCAAACTGGTGTTGATTTCGCAGGACCTTTCATGACGATACAAGGTAGAGGAAAACAACGAGTTAAGCGTTATCTTTGTCTATTTACATGCTTGGCAACGAGAGCTGTGCACTTGGAAATGGCATATAGTCTTGATAGCGACTCATTCCTCAATGCCTTTTTACAGGATGGTAAACCGTAGAGGTTTGCCAAGTGTAGTGGTGTCAGATAATGGTACAAATTTTACAGGAGCTGTTAAAGAGCTGAAAGTACTTGTCGACAGACTTGATGGAAAATATATCCAAAGTTCATTGGCAAATCGTGGAGTTGTTTGGAAATTCAACCCACCATATGCTCCACATTTTGGTGGTGCTTTTGAAGCAATGATCAAGTCCTCAAAAAGAGCTATATATGCAATCCTAGGCAATGGTGACATTACTGATGAAGAACTAGTCACTGCCTTTACTGGCGCTGAATCGTTGATCAATCCAAGGCCTTTAACTTACCAAAGTACACATCCAAATGATGACGTTCCACTTACACCAAATCACTTTCTTCATGGTCAGTGTGGTGGAATCTTTGCTCCACAGTCGGTTGATAATGCAGAATTCTGTCCGAGAAAACGGTGGCGAAGAGTCCAAGAACTGGTACACCACTTTTGGAAACGATGGATGTCGGAATGGCTTCCTTCTCTACAAGCAAGGAAGAAATGGTTTATACCAAGTCGTGATCTTGAGGTCGACGATGTTGTTGTGGTTATCTCCACGCAATCTCCAAGAGGAAGTTGGATCACAGGAAGAATCATAAAGACACATCCAGGGAGAGATGGACACGTTCGAGTTGTTGACATACAGACGAATCAAGGTGTTATGACAAGACCAGTGACAAAGGTGTGTCCACTGGAATGGAAGGTGTCAGAAACTACCACCGAGGGAGGCTTCAAGAACAGTACAGAAGATCAACAGCAGGCTTCAACCAATGGATAGAGGAGCAGCAGACGGCTTCAAGAAACAGAAAAATTCATGGATACAGGATTGAAAGAATTCATGTATCGAGAATTCGAGGATGAAGAATTCAAAGGATTGGTGGAAGGATTCAAGATTTCATGGATGGAAGATTCAGAGAACAGTTAATAAATGGATGTCGCAAAGGAATCGAAGACAGAACAGAAAGTGGTATCCAGACAAAAACATTCAAGGGAAGTATTTCAGTTGATTGTATATTGACATGTTTTTCTTTTCAGGAAATAAATGTGTTTTGTCACAATGAACATTACACTTACCGATGTGTTATGATTTGGAACAGACATGCTTATTTTCATATTTCCAGGACTGGATGATGAACTTTCTTTGTATTTCAGGAAATGTGTGGACTTTTCTGAACTTTAGTTGCATAAGTTTCAAATATGTCTGCATATAATGTGCTATTTTGTGATTGATATGTTCATTTGAAATGATAGACTTGGATCTATCATTTGTAGGGGGGAATGTTGTGGAGAACTGTGTTTGTAAACATAGAATATTCAAGCGTATGTTTATGTTTCAAACAAACGAACATTCGCGCAAACGCAATGTACTTCTTGAAAGATTTGATTGCGTGAAACACGTGGAGCTGAACCTGCACGAGGTTTCTCAGATAGCAGTTTTCAACATATTTGATAGAACTTTGGACATTAGCGGTCGTGCTTTCGACGAACTGACCAATAATAGTTTTTTGTTATAGTCAATGAATAGAGTACTATCTGTATACATATGTGCAAAACAAAATAGTGTATTATCTGTATACAAATGTACAAAACAAAACAGAATTAAAGTTGAAATAGATTAGTCACAGTTTTGAAATATTTATTTATAGAACACTGCGTAACATCATCCATTATACATTTTCAAACAGCTTTTCATTTCACCTTCTTTGGAAGACACCAAAAGCTAGGTGAGCAGATGCCCTGGTGTCAAAATAAGGGACATAACTCTGGTTCCTTACTACACCACTGCGACCAGTTGAGGTTACACTACACCAAATCAGAATCCGTAGTTTAACAAGCTCTTTTCATCCAGAGCCTTCAGTGCAGACTGAATCGTCTAACATCCTTGATTGAGTGATTTTGTGTCCGATTGTTTGTGTTTTTTAAATGTACATCCATCCAGTAATTACAACAGACCATATTTTTATATATTTAGTGATGGTTTTTTTTGCATGATGTCTGAATGTGACCACGGGGTTTTTGTTTAGCAGTTGACATTTTTTGTGGAGCTGGGGTTGGTCTGCTTGGCTTCCTGTACAGTGCACTCACTCACACTGACCACACACTCACACAGTCCACACACTCCACTCACACAGACCACTCATTCACACAGACCACTCACTCACACAGTCCACCTAGTATCACACTTCGGTCAGTCACACCATCCACTCACACAGTCCACACACTCACACAGTCCACACAGGCCACTCACACACACAGTCCACTAAGTATCACAGTCACACAGTCAACTAAGTATCACAGTCACACAGTCCACTAAGTATCACAGTCACACAGTCCACTCACACAGTCCACTAAGTATCAGTCACACAGTCAACTAAGTATCACAGTCACACAGTCCACTCACACAGACCACTAAGTATCACAGTCACACAGTCCACTCACACAGTCCACTAAGTGTCACAGTCATACAGTCCACTAAGTATCACAGTCACAAAGTCCACTCACACAGTCCACTAAGTATCACAGTCACACAGTCCACTCGCACAGACCACTAAGTATCACACTCACAGTCAACTAAGTATCACAGTCACACAGTCCACTCACACAGACCACTAAGTGTCACAGTCACACAGTCAACTAAGTATCACAGTCACACAGTCCACTCACACAGTCAACTAAGTATCACAGTCACACAGACAACTAAGTATCACAGTCACACAGTCCACTCACACAGACCACTAAGTATCACAGTCACACAGTCCACTCACACAGACCACTAAGTATCACAGTCACACAGTCCACTAAGTATCACAGTCACACAGTCCACTCACACAGTCAACTAATTATGACAGTCACACAGACAACTAAGTATCACAGTCACACAGTCCACTCACACAGACCACTAAGTATCACAGTCACACAGTCCACTCACACAGACCACTAAGTATCACAGTCACACAGTCCACTAAGTATCACAGTCACACAGTCCACTCACACAGACCACTAAGTATCACAGTCACACAGTCCACTCACACAGTCAACTAAGTATCACAGTCACACAGACAACTAAGTATCACAGTCACACAGTCCACTCACACAGACCACTAAGTATCACAGTCACACAGTCCACTCACACAGACCACTAAGTATCACAGTCACACAGTCCAGTCACACAGTCCACTCACACAGACCACTAAGTGTCACTGTCAACTAAGTATCACAGTCACACAGTCCACTCACACAGTCCACTAAGTATCACAGTCACACAGTCCACTAAGTATCACAGTCACACAGTCCACTCACACAGTCAACTAAGTATCACATTCACACAGTCCACTCACACAGTCAACTAAGTATCACAGTCACACAGACAACTAAGTATCACAGTCACACAGTCCACTCACACAGACCACTAAGTATCACAGTCACACAGTCCACTCACACAGACCACTAAGTGTCACAGTAAACTAAGTATCACATTCACACAGTCCACTCACACAGTCCACTAAGTATCACAGTCACACAGTCCACTAAGTATCACAGTCACACAGTCCACTCACACAGTCCACTAAGTATCACATTCACACAGTCCACTCACACAGTCAACTAAGTATCACAGTCACACAGACAACTAAGTATCACAGTCACACAGTCCACTCACACTGACCACTCACTCACACAGTCCACTAAGTATCACAGTCACACAGTCAACTAAGTATCACAGTTTGGTCAGTCACACCATCCACTCACACAGACCACACACTCACTCTGTTCACACTTTTGTTTCAGGTATGCCACCTCAACACATGGGTTCTTCAAGAAGCTGGGAATTCCTGGACCCAAACCATCACTGTTTGGGGGACTTAGAGATGTCAAGAAATCTGTACGTTAAACCAACATCTTTTGATTTCATACTATGTAGATGCGTGAATTCCCAATCTTTGATAGGAGTGATATAGCTTGAGAACAACTTGATCATGGCCTTGATATGGCACGCAAATTTTCATGATTATAATACACTGGTGCCAAACAAATACATATCATGATATATATAAAACTCACTAAACAACAATTATTATGTTCAAATGCCTTACTTTTGAGCATTGGGTCAGAATTTCATGGCAATTATTTTGCCTTTCACTTCTAAGAATATGCAAGATGTAAACAACATAGTGAGTAAGTGAGTTTAATTTTACACCTCTTATACAGAGGTACAGATAAGGTACTTATCTGCGTAAACTACGCAAATATTTATGTGAAAACTCAATTCCTATTAAATCTATTGCGTACAAGTACGCTTGAATTTTTGTAAATACTTAATAAATGTGATTTTGCATGCGTTCACACGAAAATGGCAAACCTAAGCTTGCGTACTGGTGGGTAGATAAATAACTGAGGGGTTCTATTTCAGGAAATGAACTTGACAGCTTGCAGTCTTTCTCATATTACAGATCAAATATAGATAAGAAACACTAATATTTAAACTTTATTATAGTTTTAAAGTCAATGGAAAATAACAAAATACCCATTTGAGTTTGAGTGAGGTGAGTACAATTTATTTGGTTACTCAAAGGAAAATTTGGATACCCAATTGAGATGAACACAAGCGAGTACATAACTCAATGACCCAATAAGTTATCTGTAGCTCTGTTTTAGTAATGTTCCAGCCATGTCATGATGAGGCAGGGGTGGAAATAACTTTAAAATTGCTAGTGTACTCCGGTACAGTGGCACATGTAAAATCACTTGCCCTGATAATTTTTCCACTATACCGGCCGTTTTTAAAAAATAAACAACATAATTAACGTTGGAAAGTCAACTGGACACCGGTACAGTGTGATATACAAATTTGCTTGCCCAACAGAAAAAAACACTGGACCCGGACGTTGGGCAATGGGTTATTTCCACCCCTGTGATGACACCAGAAATGGGTGTCACACATTGTTCCCATGTGGGGAATCGAACCCGGGCCTTCGCATGACGAGTGAATGATTTTACCACTAGGCTACCCCACTGCCTCTAAACAACATAATGAATGCTAGATGTAGAATAAGTCAGCAAAGGAACTAGGTTGGCTACTAGTTTTCAACGAAGCAATGTGATATAATTAACTGATTAATTGTATTCTAAAATTAACTATGTTCACAAATAAAGACAAATCAACACAAATATATTACAGTGCAGTACAAATTTAAAAGCATCAACACAGACAGATCATAATTTTCACCTCTAGTATCTAGTGCTGAATATCCAAGAATGATCTCCGCACAATCCCTGTTCCCCTTGCAACATGACGTACTGTGAGATCATAGGCAAGAATTATCTCCCCTTATAAACCTAAGAAAAAGATGAAGAGAAGGTTTTCTTTGGGTCAGAATAAAGTGGAAATTCTAGGACTGTCACAGGACACCCAACAAGCATATTTCAGTAATCAGCTCTTATAGAATATAGTATAAAAGCCCATAAGGTTGTAGTACTCTGTAGTACCTTCCAGAACTCGGTGTAAGTATAGCACAAGTCTAAATATAGCACATCACGTGTACCCAGTATATTACTGTTTAAAGTAATATACTGGGTACACGTGAAGATCTGGGTTATAATTTATTTTCAGTAACCCATGCTTGTCATAAGAGGCGACTAACGGGATCGGGTGGTCAGACTTGCTGACTTGGTTGACACATGTCATCGGTATCCCAATTGCGTAGATCGATGCTCGTGCTGTTGATCACTGGATTGCCTGGTTCTACCTCGATTATTTACGGATCACCGCCATATAGCTGGAATATTGCTGAGTGTGGCGTAAAAATAAACTCACTCACTCACTAATACACTTGGAACGCAGTGAGAAAGTAACAGATGATAGCAGTAAAACAGCAGCAGAGGCATCAGAGGGAACCTGTCACGGTCCTATATCAAATTGACCAACCATTGGAACTGAACTGGGCTGTTGTAAATAGTTATCTAATTGGGTATTGTAAATTTTTATTTAATCAAGACAACTGACAACAACATAAAAAGACTTTCTGTAAGTTATGATGAAAAGATTGAACTCAGTTGTCTCAGTCATATCTTTGGAGACCCCTTCTCACACATTCTCGAAGTATTACAAAGGTATAATAAAACTGTTAAAGAATTAAACAGAATAATCAAAGAAAATGTCTTGTAGCATAGTTCTATGAACCGCTGTATTTACATATCCTGAAGAATAGGTTGTACCTATTCTGTTCAGAGCATGTAGAAATATCTATGAAAAGTCATTGCAGCACAGATCTATCAAATCTTCCCTCACAGATCTTAGAGTATAAAAAAGCTTACAAAACTGTACCGTAATTACGAATATCAAAGCAACGCATAGCATAGCTTTATATACACCAGTCTTTACATTGCGTAAATTATAAAGGTGATGTTAGCGATGAAAAGTAACGTGAAATGAAAACTATCCGTAGAAAGACATTGTAGCATATTAAGTTGTGGGTTTAGCTAACCATCTTAAGTTACATTTTCTGTGAATGAACGAAGGTAAGATCCTGTTCAATTTGCTTTCCGTTTTAGGGGTCTATTACAAACTATGATCAACTGATGATAAAGAAATATGGCAAGGTCGTTGGGTAAGTAGCACTTTCAGTATTTCATTAGTTTCTTTAGTCTCATAAAGGATTGTTGCTTGTTGAAAGAAGAATGCAATTAAATTTCAACATGTTCAAGATCTGCAAAGTTTACCCTTTGCTTTTATGTAGAACAAATTTCTTGGAGTGATGTTCTGACAGAAAAGCAATATTATGTGAGACTTATCTCAGGTTTTACGGAAGACAGATGTTGTGTTTAGCCCTGTGACACAGAAACTATCATGTTACGTTTAGGTCAGCACTTGATGTCAATCCCTTTTGTATGTGTCATTTTGATAAACTGTTAGCATGTGGTGTGTCTTATGTGTCATATTGATAGCCTGTTAGAATGTGGTGTGTGTTAAACACTTCATGTGTCATCTTGATAACCTGTTAACATGTGGTGTGTGTGATAACACTTCATGTGTCATCTGATAACCTGTTAGCATGCGTTGTGTGTGTGATAACACTTCATGTGTCATCTTGATAACCTGTTAGCATGTGGTTTGTGTTAAATGCTTCATGTGTCATCTTGATAACCTGTTTGCATGTGGTGTGTGTGATAACACTTCATGTGTCATCTTGATAACCTGTTTGCATGTGGTGTGTGTGATAACACTTCATGTGTCATCTTGATAACCTGTTAGCATGTGGTGTGTGTGATAACACTTCATGTGTCATCTTGATAACCTGTTAGCATGCGGTGTGTGTGATAACACTTCATGTGTCATCTTGATAACTTGTTAGCATGTGGTTTGTGTTAAATGCTTCATGTGTCATCTTGATAACCTGTTTGCATGTGGTGTGTGTGATAACACTTCATGTGTCATCTTGATAACCTGTTTGCATGTGGTGTGTGTGATAACGCTTCATGTGTCATCTTGATAACCTGTTTGCTTGTGGTGTGTGTGATAACACTTCATGTGTCATCTTGATAACCTGTCAGCATGTGGTGTGTGTGATAACATTTCATGTGTCATCTTGATCATGTTGATAACATGTTAACATACAGTGTGTGTGATAACACTTCATGTGTCATCTTGATAACCTGTTAGCATGTGGTGTGTGTGATAACACTTCATGTGTCATCTTGAGAACCTGTTAGCATGTAGTGTGTGTTATAATGCTTCATGTGTTATCTTGAGAACCTGTTAACATACTGTGCATGTGATAACACTTTGTGTGTCAACTTGATAACCTGTTAGCATGTGGTGTGTGTGATAACACTTCATGTGTCATCTTGAGAACCTGTTAGCATGTAGTGTGTGTTATAATGCTTCATGTGTTATCTGATAACCTGTTAACATACGGTGCATTTGACAACACTTCATGTGTCAACTTGATAACCTGTTAGCATGTGGTGTGTGTGATAACACTTCATGTGTCATCTGTTAACCTGTTAGCATGTGGTGTGTGTGATAACACTTCATGTGTCATCTTGAAAAACCTGTTAGCATGTGGTGTGTGTGATAACACTTCATGTGTCATCTGATAACCTGTTAGCATGTGGTGTGTGTGATAACACTTCATGTGTCATCTGATAACCTGTTAGTATGCAGTGTGTGTGATAACACTTCATGTGTCATCTGATAACCTGTTAGCATGTGGTGTGTGTGATAACACTTCATGTGTCATCTGATAACCTTTTATGACCTTACATCTACTTCCATATACTTATACAAATTGTTCATTTCTTTTCAGCCTGTTTATGATGCGACAGCCAGTATACCTCATTGCTGACATTGACATGATGAAACAGATCACAGTGAAGGAGTTCCCATCATTCATAAACCGCTCGGTAAGTAACATGTATATACTGACTCCCAGTGGGGAGACCTTCCTTGCTGGGTCTAGTAAACTCATCTGTTATAGTCCAGATGACTGCACTTAGTTCTGGACTACTGAAAATGAAGCTAAAATCAAAGTTTGGGTTAGTAATTTCAAAGGTTCTAGGGACACTTCCTCCACAACCAGCACTGACAGTGGTCCCACTTTAATACAAGGTCCCCTGACCCCTCCACCTACACAAGCCCTGGGAACTGACAGTGTATTCCAACTCTGAACCCTCTACTTTAACCTGGTGTTGTACAAGGTCTCCTGTCCTCCACCTACACAAGCCCTGGGAACTGTTAGTGTATTCCAACTCTGAACCCTCTACTTTAACCTAGTGTTGTACAAGGTCTCCTGCCCCTCCACCTACACAATCCCTGGGAACTGACAGTGTATTCCAACTCTGAACCCTCTACTTTAACCTGGTGTTGTACAAGGTCCCCCGCCCCTCCACCTACACAAGCCCTGGAAACTGACAGTGTATTCCAACTCTGAACTCTCTACTTTAACCTGGTGTTGTACAAGGTCTCCTGCCCCTCCACCTACACAATCCCTGGGAACTGACAGTGTATTCCAACTCTGAACTCTCTACTTTAACCTGGTGTTGTACAAGGTCTCCTGCCCCTCCACCTACACAATCCCTGGGAACTGACAGTGTATTCCAACTCTGAACCCTCTACTTTAACCTGGTGTTGTACAAGGTCCCCTGACACTCCACCTACACAAGCCCTGGAAACTGACAGTGTATTCCAACTCTGAACCCTCTACTTTAACCTGGTGTTGTACAAGGTCTCCTGCCCCCCCCACCTACATAAGCCTTGGGAACTGACAGTGTATTCCAACTCTGAACCCTCTACTTTAACCTGGTGTTGTACAAGGTCTCCTGTCCTCCACCTACACAAGCCCTGGGAACTGACAGTGTATTCCAACTCTGAACCCTCTACTTTAACCTGGTGTTGTACAAGGTCTCCTGTCCTCCACCTACACAATCCCTGGGAACTGACAGTGTATTCCAACTCTGAACCCTCTATTTTAAACTGGTGTTGTACAAGGTCTCCTGCCCCTCCACCTACACAATCCCTGGGAACTGACAGTGTCTTCCAACTCTGAACCCTCTACTTTAACCTGGTGTTGTACAAGGTCTCCTGTCCTCCACCTACACAAGCCTTGGGAACTGACAGTGTATTCCAACTCTGAACCCTCTACTTTAACCTGGTGTTGTACAAGGTCCCTGCCCTCCACCTACACAAGCCCTGGGAACTGACAGTGTATTCCAACTCTGAACCCTCTACTTTTAACCTGGTGTTGTACAAGGTCTCCTGTCCTCCACCTACACAAGCCCTGGGAACTGACAGTGTATTCCAACTCTGAACCCTCTACTTTAACCTGGTGTTGTACAAGGTCTCCTGTCCTCCACCTACACAATCCCTGGGAACTGACAGTGTATTCCAACTCTGAACCCTCTACTTTAACCTGGTGTTGTACAAGGTCTCCTGTCCTCCACCTTCACAATCCCTGGGAACTGACAGTGTATTCCAACTCTGAACCCTCTACTTTAACCTGGTGTTGTACAAGGTCCCCTGTCCTCCACCTTCACAATCCCTGGGAACTGACAGTGTATTCCAACTCTGAACCCTCTACTTTAACCTGGTGTTGTACAAGGTCTCCTGTCCTCCACCTACACAAGCCCTGGGAACTGACAGTGTATTCCAACTCTGAACCCTCTACTTTAACTTGGTGTTGTACAAGGTCTCCTGTCCTCCACCTACACAAGCCTTGGGAACTGACAGTGTATTCCAACTCTGAACCCTCTACTTTAACCTGGTGTTGTACAAGGTCCCCTGTCCTCCACCTACAGAATCCCTGGGAACTGACAGTGTATTCCAACTCTGAACCCTCTACTTTAACCTGGTGTTGTACAAGGTCCCCTGCCCCTACACCTACACAAGCCCTGGGAACTGACAGTGTATTCCAACTCTGAACCCTCTACTTTAACCTGGTGTTGTACAAGGTCCCCTGTCCACCACCTACACAATCCCTGGGAACTGACAGTGTATTCCAACTCTGAACCCTCTACTTTAACCTGGTGTTGTACAAGGTCTCCTGTCCTCCACCTACACAAGCCCTGGGAACTGACAGTGTATTCCAACTCTGAACCCTCTACTTTAACCTGGTGTTGTACAAGGTCTCCTGTCCTCCACCTACACAAGCCTTGGGAACTGACAGTGTATTCCAACTCTGAAACCTCTACTTTAACCTGGTGTTGTACAAGGTCCTCTGCCCCTCCACCTACACAAGCCCTGGGAACTGACAGTGTATTCCAACTATGAACCCTCTACTTTAACCTGGTGTTGTACAAGGTCCCCTGCCCCTACACCTACACAAGCCCTGGGAACTGACAGTGTATTCCAACTCTGAACCCTCTACTTTAACCTGGTGTTGTACAAGGTCTCCTGTCCTCCACCTACACAAGCCCTGGGAACTGACAGTGTATTCCAACTCTGAACCCTCTACTTTAACCTGGTGTTGTACAAGGTCTCCTGTCCTCCACCTACACAAGCCCTGGGAACTGACAGTGTATTCCAACTCTGAACCCTCTACTTTAACCTGGTGTTGTACAAGGTCTCCTGTCCTCCACCTATACAAGCCCTGGGAACTGTTAGTGTATTCCAACTCTGAACCCTCTACTTTAACCTAGTGTTGTACAAGGTCTCCTGCCCCTCCACCTACACAATCCCTGGGAACTGACAGTGTATTCCAACTCTGAACCCTCTACTTTAACCTGGTGTTGTACAAGGTCCCCCGCCCCTCCACCTACACAAGCCCTGGAAACTGACAGTGTATTCCAACTCTGAACTCTCTACTTTAACCTGGTGTTGTACAAGGTCTCCTGCCCCTCCACCTACACAATGCCTGGGAACTGACAGTGTATTCCAACTCTGAACTCTCTACTTTAACCTGGTGTTGTACAAGGTCTCCTGCCCCTCCACCTACACAATCCCTGGGAACTGACAGTGTATTCCAACTCTGAACCCTCTACTTTAACCTGGTGTTGTACAAGGTCCCCTGACACTCCACCTACACAAGCCCTGGAAACTGACAGTGTATTCCAACTCTGAACCCTCTACTTTAACCTGGTGTTGTACAAGGTCTCCTGCCCCCCACCTACATAAGCCTTGGGAACTGACAGTGTATTCCAACTCTGAACCCTCTACTTTAACCTGGTGTTGTACAAGGTCTCCTGTCCTCCACCTACACAAGCCCTGGGAACTGACAGTGTATTCCAACTCTGAACCCTCTACTTTAACCTGGTGTTGTACAAGGTCTCCTGTCCTCCACCTACACAATCCCTGGGAACTGACAGTGTATTCCAACTCTGAACCCTCTATTTTAAACTGGTGTTGTACAAGGTCTCCTGCCCCTACACCTACACAAGCCCTGGGAACTGACAGTGTATTCCAACTCTGAACCCTCTACTTTAACCTGGTGTTGTACAAGGTCTCCTGTCCTCCACCTACACAATCCCTGGGAACTGACAGTGTATTCCAACTCTGAACCTCTACTTTTAACCTGGTGTTGTACAAGGTCTCCTGTCCTCCACCTTCACAATCCCTGGGAACTGACAGTGTATTCCAACTCTGAACCCTCTACTTTAACCTGGTGTTGTACAAGGTCCCCTGTCCTCCACCTTCACAATCCCTGGGAACTGACAGTGTATTCCAACTCTGAACCCTCTACTTTAACCTGGTGTTGTACAAGGTCTCCTGTCCTCCACCTACACAAGCCCTGGGAACTGACAGTGTATTCCAACTCTGAACCCTCTACTTTAACCTGGTGTTGTACAAGGTCTCCTGTCCTCCACCTACACAATCCCTGGGAACTGACAGTGTATTCCAACTCTGAACCCTCTACTTTAACCTGGTGTTGTACAAGGTCTCCTGTCCTCCACCTTCACAATCCCTGGGAACTGACAGTGTATTCCAACTCTGAACCCTCTACTTTAACCTGGTGTTGTACAAGGTCCCCTGTCCTCCACCTTCACAATCCCTGGGAACTGACAGTGTATTCCAACTCTGAACCCTCTACTTTAACCTGGTGTTGTACAAGGTCTCCTGTCCTCCACCTACACAAGCCCTGGGAACTGACAGTGTATTCCAACTCTGAACCCTCTACTTTAACTTGGTGTTGTACAAGGTCTCCTGTCCTCCACCTACACAAGCCTTGGGAACTGACAGTGTATTCCAACTCTGAACCCTCTACTTTAACCTGGTGTTGTACAAGGTCCCCTGTCCTCCACCTACACAATCCCTGGGAACTGACAGTGTATTCTAACTCTGAACCCTCTACTTTAACCTGGTGTTGTACAAGGTCCCCTGCCCCTACACCTACACAAGCCCTGGGAACTGACAGTGTATTCCAACTCTGAACCCTCTACTTTAACCTGGTGTTGTACAAGGTCCCTGTCCTCCACCTACACAATCCCTGGGAACTGACAGTGTATTCCAACTCTGAACCCTCTACTTTAACCTGGTGTTGTACAAGGTCTCCTGTCCTCCACCTACACAAGCCCTGGGAACTGACAGTGTATTCCAACTCTGAACCCTCTACTTTAACCTGGTGTTGTACAAGGTCTCCTGTCCTCCACCTACACAAGCCTTGGGAACTGACAGTGTATTCCAACTCTGGAAACCCTCTACTTTAACCTGGTGTTGTACAAGGTCCTCTACCCCTCCACCTACACAAGCCCTGGGAACTGACAGTGTATTCCAACTATGAACCCTCTACTTTAACCTGGTGTTGTACAAGGTCCCCTGCCCCTACACCTACACAAGCCCTGGGAACTGACAGTGTATTCCAACTCTGAACCCTCTACTTTAACCTGGTGTTGTACAAGGTCTCCTGTCCTCCACCTACACAAGCCCTGGGAACTGACAGTGTATTCCAACTCTGAACCCTCTACTTTAACCT